TAATTAACAAAACAATGGATAGAGATTACTTTGAAAAAGTGTATTTTTGTACTTAGCAGCTTCATATATTTGAGGCAGAAACCATAGGAAAGGGAAAGCTATTCCTCTTTCAGAAGCATTTCAAACAGTTCATAAAAGTACACGTACCCAGCAAATAGAAACCAGAACCTCAACAGAGACTTGTTTTTCCACCCTCTTGGGTTTTCAGGCTTTAAGGCTCAGATTAACACTGAGATTTCATATATTAAAAAAAAAAATAAAAATCATGCAATTGGTCACAGCATAAATTCCTCCCATAGATAAAAACAGGAAAGAGCACTGCCTATTATTTGGTGGCCTCAGCTTTATCACGTTTATGACCATCAGGGCCGTAGTTTGACATCCTCTCACTCCAGAAGCTCTGCCTATTTAAATAATTCTGGCAACTAAGCCACAGGCACAAACAGTTGCATCGCTGAATGATCTGACACACTGGACAGCATGAATTGTTGTTGTAACAGAATTTGGCTTTCCCCTGCTGCACACTTCGTGTCTATGTGAGCCATTAACAAGAAATGTTAATACCCGCTCTAGGTTGTCTGAAAAGATGCACGATTATGAAGAACTCTCTTCATCATTTAGACGAACTCTCTTCTTCATTTCTACTCTAGTGCTAAAGCAGAAACATCAAGTACTGCAATTCAGATACGAAGGATTTAAGTCCTTATTCCCAGTGAGCCGAGACATTTTTCTAGCAATTCACACATTCATTGCAATGGGATTTCTTAAGAATGACAGAAATAACAAAAACTAGGCTAAGACTTTCCTACTTATGCTAACATATCTGCTTGCTTATTACTTCTTCCAGAATTAGACAGCAACATGACTGACTCTTACTCTGAAGAATATCCCAAAGAACATGGCAACAAAAGCAGTAGAAGAAAATCTATGCTACCAGTGTTTTCTCTTCAAGCATCACAATTAGGCTGACAGACACATGGATGAAAATAACTGAAATCTTATAAATCAATAATTTAACTGCACCTATCTTTATCAATGCTTTTTATGAGGACCTATTCGTACGCATCTGTGGGATGCGGAAATGGTAAAAATCTGTGAAAGCTGAGACAGAGTCTTTAGGGAATTTTGCCATTTGAGAGATTTTGGTCCAAAAGCTTGTGAGGAGCTCTCTTATACCTTTTTTTCAAAGAGAAACAGCTCTCTCTTACTCTTGTTAAACTTTTAACTGGGAAAAAAAAAAAAAGAACCAAAACCAGAACAGAAAATAAAAGCCCAAAGAAAGTACAATGTTCCATAGTGACTGGAGAAAAATTCAATGGTCTGATGGATGAACAATAAACAGCATGTAGTTTGTGAGCTACCCACTTACGTATCACGTAAGTTTCCAAAACCACATTATTTAAACTCTTCACACTTAATACAGAGATCTAGTTTAACGGAAGCAGGGGAACCACAGACCAAAATTAAGAAGTCTATAAAAAGAAGTTATTTACCCCCTTCAGCCATTTGTCTCTATCCCTAGTGCTCCAACACTACTGCTCTAAGGTTACACTGAACTCTAGACAATACTCACTTAAACCCCAGAATACTTCAGAGACCCCGTTTAAAACCAAGCATGCAGGAACTGCACTGCCAAGCTGAAAAGCCACTGAACTGCAACAAAGTAGTAGAAAGACTTAGGAGCATTGCAGACTATCTTTACCATCAGAAAAATGGTAGTATTCAACTCTTCAGCAAAGATACACAGTCACTTCATTCTGACACAGTCCAATGCTGCTTCCACTTCAGTGCTGAGAAACCTGGCATAGTAATGAAAAAGGAAAACAAAGACAACCTTCCTCTGGCAATTCCAGCTTTCAAGCTAGTTTTAAACCTGGATTAAAGTATCTCAACTTCCTGTCAGAGATCTAAAAACTGGCAACTGTCATGCATTTTCCAGATGTTTACAATAAACTCATTCACATTCACAAAATGCAGAACGAGCCCCTAAGTTACACTCTCTTGGGCCCTCCTGTAGCCTCTGAATCATGCTCTTGCAGTGTCGAGGCTACCTGCTGGCTTTTTTAAAAGCTTCTTTTTTATAATTTTATTATTTTTAAGACCTAAATCGCAAAGGAATTATACTGTATGTGCTAAGATAAATCCGTCAGGATATAGAGATAAGCAGGCACCATCTTGAAGCATACAGTTGAATGTTCTGTTGATGATCCATGCATTACTTTTCTCTTCCTGCTTCCCCATCACTGGGAGCACAGTGAGGACAGGTATTTTTACAGTACTCCCTCTCTCACCTCCAAGGCTGATTACCTTGATTTAAATCAAACAAGCTATCCGCCATCCTGGGCTGTCTACACGAGGGTATTCCTCACCATTGCCAAAGCAGGGATGTACATTTTGAGAAGTTAAGTGGCAGATTTCTGAAGGAACTTTACTCACCAGGACTTGGATCCAGACTTACACAGCCATGCTGGGGTGACAACAACCCAGCTGAGTTGTATACCACAGCTCAGCTCTGTGAGAAGAGGAACTGGTCTGCTCCTATGCTGCAATCAAAATGTACAGCCAAGAGACATTCAGAGTTCCCCCTTTAACTGGCATAGTATCTGGTCCAGCATTTACAACCAATGAGTAGCATATCCTGAAGTAATTGTATGCTATTCCTGATGTAAGACACGTCTCTTCCAAACCTATCCAGGCAGAGACTTTCATCCAGGCTGGAGGAATTTACACTTCCTGCCAACAGAACATACACTTCCAGATCAGAATGTGAAAAGAAAGGCAGGACTAAACTGATGAATGATGTCAAAAACTAGGGAGCTGAGCGCAAAGGTAGAGGATGTTGCACGGTTGGGATACAAGTTTGGGATAAGACCATAAAACCGAAATGCGTAACTTGGGTAGTTCTGCACATCTGTGCAAATTAGGAATTTAGAAAAAGTATAGTTATATTTAAAAGTATTAAATTCATGCTATCTATCTTTAATCTACATGTGCACTCGCCATTAATTCCACCTAGTTTAGGGCTATAAAAGCCTCCATCCAGTTACTGGATATTTTCAGCTTATATCATCCTACACAGGCAACTAGTTCAGAGTCCAAACTTGAAACATCCTACTTAGCTTTTTAGTTTAGTATTTTTCCTTAAACAAAAAGAGGGGTAATATTCCAAGATACTATGGTTTTTGAAATCACCCTCCAAAATAAAGGTATAACCAAATGCCTCTGAATCAACTACTGCCACAAAACCAAAGCCCTACACTGTGTTGTAGATGCCCAATACAGATTTACTGGGGGAAAACAAAACAATAAAAAATGAGATGTCACAAACTATTAGTATCTGATGGGCAGAAACTAAAATGTTCAACCATGTTTTCATTTTGATACCCTACACACCTCATTCACGAGACTAGATATCAAAGATTTTGGTCCAAAGCACTAGCCAACATCAACCAAGCATGACATGCTAAAGGAAATGTCCTTGCCTCCCCCCTAAAACCGCACAATGAGAAGAGATCAAAATGGTCTTTAAAGCATGGCTAATTTTAAAGCTTCTATTATGCCATTGCCTCTTCCATTCTTTTAAAATAACCCACTCTTACATCACATAGCATGTTTCCCCGGTACTAATTGCCTTCCACACATAATACAGTCCAGAAATAACCCAGATGCAAGAACAATGTAAGAACTTTACACACCTTTCTCAATTAGAAGTTAAATAATGCTGTATGATTAGATTCATTTTAACATCTCTCTCCTCTTTCATTCTTCATCTAATGCATCTGTGGTATGCCTATGGTGATGACAGCACTAATTTCAAGACTCAGGAAAAGGCATAAACCAGTTCCTTTAGAACACTTCAAAAGAATGGTTTTGCTCCAAAAACAGGACGTGAATTTAAAACATAAGCAGTAAAGCTAGCTGTGAAGTCTTAAGAGAAAAAAGGAGAGAACTGAGGAGATTATAAAATGTAATCCAACAGTCTTCAGGATTTCTAAACCTCAGTATCAAATTGCAAAAAAGGAGTTTCAAATCACTGATTTTCTTAAATATGTTTCAACTTCTTATTTCTAAGCTGGGAAGTTTAAATATCAAGACCATGCCAAGAAGATTATCTGTGGCACTTTCTCTATTAATTATCTTTATACTTTTATAGTCATGAAGGCTGTGGCCTTCAGATCCGAAAACCCACACCACTGATTTCAGACACTAAAAACAGTACTTTTGGTATCATTCACTGCTTGCCCAAGTTTATCTGCAGGCCACCTGACTACAAGGGAAGCAGTCAAGCACACCAAGTACCAAGCACAAGACTAACAGCAGCGGTGAGGCTGCTGATGGTCCTTGACTTTTATTTGGTTTAAACACAACTAGAAAAAAATACAGTTTTTTGGAGGGCTACTTTTTCAGAAGGAAGAAGTTAGATCTAGTAAAACCACCACAACAGATCACATTTATAAATGAGGTAACGAAGGGAAGTAATTTGCCTTCAATCCAAGCTGCCCTGAGCTCAGTATTTGCTATCCTCTTGCTTAGCCTGAGGACTTCCCGATCTGCTCAAATACAGTCTTCCACCTGTATGTGAGACAATCAAGAACAGAGTCTAAAGGCTTCTGTTTCTTCCAGCAGCTTAATTACTAATGACTGGAGAAGAGTCTATGCTAGAAAGAAGTAAGCATAAGACAAGCCTTTCTCTTGTTTCCGTCGCTCGCTGTATGAAAAATCTAGTGTACGACCTGGAAACAGCACATCAAATCAGGATGTTTGACTTCCTGTTTTGCACTACTCCACATAATTGGAACAACAGTGACTCACTGATTTTCAAGTTAAACTATATCCCTTTATCATAAACCACCTAATTAATCTTTAGTTCTTGAATTTTTTACCTGCATTCATGAGCTCCATGAAAATAAATTAAAAAGTAAAATTAAAAACACTGCCATGAAAGACATAGAAAATGAGATAACATTCATAAAAACATTATGAACTTATGCTAGGCTCACCTTAAATCTTTTATCCTGCAGGACTTTCTTAATGGCCACAAGCTCTCCTGAATCACAGAGTTTGGCTTGATACACAACACCAAAAGATCCATTTCCGATAACCTTGGTGTCTGTGTAGCTAACTTCTTGTGGTCGGTCCGGACCTTGTCCAGGAGTTGCCACTACTGTAGTCACTTTGCTGCCATCTTTGTCTCCTGGGAAGCAAGAGATACACAAATAATCAAAATACACACACAAACAAGATGAACAACAAGTACTTGTTTCTACATCTGATTAACATAAGTGGTATTAAACACAGTGTTGTCTGTATTACCAAAATGAAGCATTTCCCTGCATTTTCCTGTAACTGAAGAAATCAGCCTGTCAGTATAGCCCTCTACAGGCATATATCTGGCAACAAAATCCAAGCCCTGACAAAGTTTATTACAAACCCACACACACGTAAAGCTTCAGCGTGCCTGCATTAGGAAACAAAACCTGTGTCAAAGCTTGCTGTGTGGACCTGAAGTGAAATCTAGGCTACATCACAAGGCGCAGTCTTGCTCTGCTCTCCTTCTTTGTAAAAGAAGGCATGTGCTGGGGTGGGGAGATGAAGGGGAAGAAGGATGATGATGGCACGCACTTAGCTTTCATCTCAACATGAACCAGAATGCAGTGACATGCACTCAGGATGCAGTATCATGGTGGATGCTGCACAGGTGAATGCGCTTTGGTGCAGATGCAGTGGCTGTGAGTTTCAGCAGTCTACTGCCGACCGCAAGAGCACTTTCCTATCAAAAGACAGCCACTGTCACCTACTCTTAGCACTACTGCTATCACCAACTGTGCTTCCCCTTGTTCAAGGTCTGATTTTGTCTGAAACAGGACCAAAGTTACAGACATTTTGCAGGCAAACATTAGTCATTTATTGCCCTTCAGTTATGACGGCTCAAGTTACAGAATCCAATACAGCTGCAAGGAAAAAAACTCCCTGCTGTTCTACAGCAAACATTCAAGATCTAGAGACTTCACTCAAGTGCTCACAAGGCCAGAGTATCACCACTACCGTTAGCGAGGTTTGGTCCCCGCTTTCCCATTAACATCAAGACTTGACATTTTAGAGATGAAAAAAATGTCCCTGGCAATACTGGTTGAGATCTGAAGTACTTGGTCTCAAGGGATCTGCTCTAAGGACAGTCTTCAGAGCTGCAATTCCTTTAGCAAACCCTGAATTTCAGGCCATGTCATACAGGCTGAGAAAGTTGAGGCTGTTCAGCCTGGAGAAGGGAAGTTGTGTGGAGACCTCATAGCAGCCTTCCAGTGTCTGAAGGGGGCCTACCAGTTTGCTGGAAAGGGACTCTTCATCAGGAACTGCAGCAATAGCAGTATACCACAGAGCAAGTCTTAATGAGAAGCCTAGGCAGTTAATGTCTCATCCCTTTCACTGCTTCAGACCATCACACGTAGTGTCCCCAGTGGATACGCAGACACTGTAAAACACACAATACCCTCAACACACAACTGTAGGTCTACAATAGAACTAGAACATTAAATTGAAAAACCAAGGAAGGAAGGAAAGACCAATCACCAAAATACTAAACAGCTCCTTATGGCACAGCTCACATCAGAAGGTCACTAGTATTTGTCCAGAAGCTGCTGCTTTCTGGGGTAATATGACCTAGCTTTACCGTAACAAAAACCAGATTCACATGCCTCTACAACATCATCTAGGCAAACCACTTCTGTAACATTCAGGACAGTAACACAAGTAAAAATAAATAGCTATCAGTCTGTAGGACGCTTGGTACATTTCATGCGAACCCTTAAAGCATTTCCCCACACGATGTTGATGTTTAACATTCATGGTGTGCTACTGAAGGATGGGTTTTGATGACAAGGTTATTGTAGAAGTCTGATGTGCAACTGAAACCAAAATCCAGACATTTAAATTCCCAAATGCTCTGATCTTTCTAGCTCACTTTCCACCTTTAGCACATGATGAGTGTATGGGACAAATCATGAGCATTAGGTAACGTCAGTGGTTTGAAAGCAGAGAATACTCATCGGTTTGTGGGAAGAAAGCACATACTCCACTTACAAGACTACAGTTTATTTATTAGAGCATCAGCACAAGTTCTAACTATTTTCCAGTGCCTTGGCATAACTTCAGAATGGCTCATGTCATCATTTTACCTAATGCCAATGGCCACTTACCCTTTCAAGCTGAGTCTAATGCAACGTTGTACACTCAGAAAGAAACTGAACATATTAAATTGTCTTTTTATTTATACAATTCAGCAATTAAACCAAAATTAATATGGAGCAGTATTATTTTAATGAAATATTTGTATGGTTTGGCAAAAAGAGGCACAAAGCTGAGAAAAAAATGCTGGTAGGTGTTTACCCAGGTGAGACAGAAGATTCTGCTTCTGGACAAGCATTTTGTCTCCTCAATATCCCACTGGCTGCAGATTCCTACACTAGCTCAAAGCTGACCATTTGACAAGTGCACTGCACGTATACTTTTTGCCAGTGCCTAAACTAGCTGTCAGGAAATAAAATTCTCTTCAGCCCTCAGAGACCATGAAAGACGTCCTTTGCTATTGATCAGAATGCACCCCACGCCTTCTATTGAATAGGCCTGGAAAAAGTCCAAGATTATGTCTGCCCTACATCCCTTCAACTGTTTAGCTTCTGACCAAGCGGTACAACTGCACATCAATGCACATACAGTCAGAGGTCTATGACTTGCTTTTCTTTTAAGTACATACACACCCTCTTCCTCCTCTCTGTATGTATTGAAGCTGAAGAAACAATGAATTATTAGGATGTTTACAGCTGATTTCTTCTTACTTCACATGCAATCTGTCCTCTGTGCCATCTACAAATTCATTTTCCTCTTTCCATTGGCTTTACCCATCTACTCCCACTTCCCTCCTCCAATTGCTACATTCTTCACTGGCATGCACATGGGTCCTCCATTAGATGCTACTTAGGTTGCTTTGAACTTCTAAACCTACAACACACTCTCTACAATGTCTGAGGTCTCTACCCAATTCAAGTAGCTTCACTGATCTCATTATCAGTGTCTCCTCCTTATTAAGATGTGGCTCAGTATTAAGTTAACATGGAGCACTTCTCCCTTTCCCGAGTCCGAGGCTTCTCCACACTCTTTCACGTTAATTTGCTCAATGCTCAATGCAATCAACAAGTCATTTCCATGGAAACCTTACACTGCTGGATCTAGCCCCTGCCAATCTGAAGAGATCACAACCAGCAGCTGATGCAACTATCTATAGAGAAACAAGTGACCAGACGGGGACGGGAGTCTATCAGAACTGCACTGGCTTTTTTCAGTCATTGACAATTAAGAAGGTCAAAAGATCCAAATACTTTGTGAAACAAATCTCTTAATAGAAAGCACAAGAAAAGTTATCTGCTGGGATCTGATGCCAACCATCTGATTAGGCTATGAAATAAAACACCGGGCTTCTTAGGTACCTGTTCATGGCATGTGAAGGAAGGAGGAGGTTATCAGCTGCTCTGAGAGTCTTCAACATGAGCAATGTGCTTAAGGCATGCTGTCAGCAGAAGTCACAGCGCTAGATGACGTCTTCCTATTTTGGCCTACTACACTTCTAAAAGGTTAATTTCACAAAAAGCTAATAATTAGGAGCCCCTACAGGGGAGAAAGTCTGAAAGTGATACGTATGAGCAGTTTCACTAGACAACTTCCTTTCTTCATCAGCGAACTGCGTGTGTGTTACCTAATGGGAGACAGTTCAAGATGGAAATGAATATTCAAGGATCAAATCAGAAAACCTCAGGGAATCTAAGAAAGGAGTCTAACAAAAACTACAGTGTGGCTTGGTTTTACATTTACCCCAAGCAAAAGGAGACCATGACATTTCAGAAGCAATTTGAAGCAAACATTGAACAAAACCCTGTGAGTGTGCCAATCTTCACCCAGAGCAGCATTCACTAAACACACACACACCCCTATACACTTGTTTTAGACAGGAAATGTCAGCTGACTTCTTGACCGAAACTGAATACCTCAAAATAAAAGAGTATCCATCAGATGTTATTTCAGATCAGAAGAATCTCACAGTTTGTATCCAAGGATTTTCGAAGAGCTAGCTAAAATGCCTGGGAAGTGATACTGATTTCTGAAAGGAATCAGAACACTCGGAGAACAAAGGCAGACAGAATGATCCACATGACCCTGAAAGTTTGATGACAATTTCAGATTAATTACTATACCAGCTACTTTGATAATGAATAACAGAGTAAGGTGGTTTATAGACACTGGATTCTTAAAAAAGGTTGGACTGTTACAGGTTCATGTCAAAAAGAGGCAAAAAGTACTGATGCAAAAGCACTGTGACTTCTGTAGGGTTTCTGACTTGCTATCACATCCTAAATTAATGAGAAAACATGGATACATGCTTATTCATCAAATTATATAATACTCTAGTCCATAACTCTCAAGACAACTACGGCCTAATAAAATACAGTACGAGGCCCCACTGGCATTAGCTTTTGGTCTCATGCTTACTGCTTGTACCAACAAACGTGAAAGAATCGCTATGAATCACAGAACAGTTTGGGCTGCAAGGGACCTTAAAGCTCACCCAGTTCCAACCCCTGCCACAGGCAAGGACACCTTCCACTAGAGCAGGTTGCTCCAAGCCCCATCCAACCTGGTCTTGAACACTGCCAGGAACGGGTTATGAAGCTCTCACATACAAGATTTAGAGTTCTGCACAGGGCGAAGATCAGTAAAGAAGCAGCTGGCCTTCCTCTTAACCCAGGCACAAATTAAGCAGAAGGATTCAGGACCTAAGGTGACAGGCCATATAGTCAAACCAAGTAAAGCCATCCAAAGAGTGGAGTCATCAACTCTGGCTTGCAAAACAACCTGGCATGGACATAAAGTGTCTAAGCACAACACTGCTACTGAGATCTAAAGCAATCCTTAGATGTATAAGCAGGAGAACATCAGCCAGAAATTATAACCCAACTAACCAACCAGAAATGCAAAAAAAACCCCACCCCAAACCAAACTAAACACGAAGAAAAACAGGGGAAAAAAAGAAATCATTCCTATTTGGGATCATGCAACAGCTACTGGAATAGTGCACTCACTCCTGATAGCTAAAATTCAGGAGTGATGATTCAAAACACCAGAGATTCAGAAAGAAGCCACAGACAT